TAAAGCTTTCCCTTAAATTTCAACTTATCTCATATGTGAAGAAATATCTTCCTAGCGCCTCCACTTGAGCACAAATTAGCTAGTGGCTTCAAAGAGCCTCTTGGAAAACCTGTCATGGGCAGCTGAAGTCTACATTGATCATGCCTGAACATGATGGTTGCAGACCTTTCTACTAAGTATGAGCTCACTGGGACTGAGCCAGAGCCTTCTAAATGTTCTTTTATATCATTGTTTATTTTCTATTAATAAGTAACAGGCATTCCCAAGAGAGAACTGAAATAATAAGATTATTGAATTTTTCTTTAATTGGATACCCAAATTATGTAACACACTTATACTCCTTACAAAGATGAGTTTATCATAAAGGTTTGTCTTAACGTATATAATACATCTTCAGAACACAATGACAATTAGAATCATTCTTTTTTTCACTGCTTCAAATTCCTAGGGAAGTATAAATAAGTTTAAACAAAATACTTTCAGTATAATCCATATTGTTGTTGTCTGTTCTTTAATCTCTTCCTTCGTTTTACCTACCCTTTTACCTGCCTTCCCCATATCCAATGGGAATTGTTTGAATTGAGAATTGAGAAGTTAGAAATTTTAATTATAAAAAAAGAGTGAATACCTGTAAAATTACTTATATTTTCCTTATTACTTATATTATACATTATAGATCTTTTTCTCAATTATATCTTTATCTTATGTTATTAAATAATATGTAAAACTAACTTTAAAAGTAGATATCAGTGATTGAAATCTGTGATCTAAATAATTATTTAAAGGGTACAGTCAAGTTTAATTTTGCTTTGTAAAAGTACTTAATCCATTAATGAAATTACAATTCTCACCTAATGTTTAAATTAACTTGTTAACTTTCCTAAGTATTTATTATATAGAGTGGTTATCTTCTTCATAGCCCCCCTCATTCTTTAGTGTTTGTGTATAAAATGATAAAGGTTAGTACTAATTGTATGTTTTATATTGTATGTAGCCAGCTGCATGGAACAACTTTCAGGACACATTTTAGGCTTGGGGCATAAACGCATATAGGAATGGAATTATAAAATTACCGGAAACCTTCATTTATATTATAAATTGTCTCATTTATTTTGTTTGTTTTACCTAAAAGGATTGGAGATCATTAAAATATATCATTTACTT